CAAAAAGTTATGCCCATTTAAGTAATAATATTTTCTTATAAGGATTGCTTTAAGAAAATGGATCCAGCTTAAAAAACTTGCGCTCGGTTAACGGTATTTTTGTTAGAACTTTATTTTTAATTTGCGCATGATTTTGCTTCGTTTAAGATTTCTTAAAGAAAACGCTTAAAGAAAACGCGATATTTGAAATAATTTTTTTATTTTATGAAAAAGAAACTTCTACTGCGCGGAAAGATAGGGTACGTGGGCATTGATATTTTTTTATGAAATTTAGTGGGCACATAGAAAATAGATATATACAGTTGCCTAGAAAATTTTAAAAGTGTACCAACATGCCTTCAATGTTTCCCCCTCATCGGAGCAGAAACAAAATTTTAAAATCAAGTCAAAATAACTGGTAACAGTAAAAATACAACATAATTTATATCAAGAAATAACAGTAACAGTAACAGTAACTGTTTAATAAAATGTAACAGTATCAGTAACAGTAAAAGTGCTGGAAATGGTACCTCCACTAGTTGGAAAAATATGGTATCTGGGCATGTTTTTTTTTCACTTTAAATTTGCAGGCACATAGAAAATTGATTTATACAGTTGACAGGAAAGTTTTAAAAGTGTACCAACATCCCTTCAATATCAATGCACTTCCAGAAAAACAACACCATTTCAAATAGCAATAAAAACACTGAAAAAATTATTAACTGTAAAAAAAAGACCTAATTTATTCAACATAAAACATTCTACTTTTTTAATAAATTCTAAGTTGATATAAAATTCTAAAAAAAAAGATAAATAAATACATCCTTAACACACCGACTTCAAGAAAACTGTGAAAAACGCGGTTCCAGTTTTTTACTGACAAATCGGTGCCGTAAAAAGCCAGATACGCACGTACCTAATTATTGTGCATATTTAACATTAGTGACAGACTTTTCTCTTATTGTGCAGGTTCCACTTGACCTTCTCTGATGTCAATATCTCTTGATTGCAATAAAAGTCTACTTAATGTCCTTTATAAACGTCAGTAGTAGCAAAAAGGGGTCTGTTGTCACTTGACCACTTTGCCCCCTAATATTTTTTGTAATCCCTCTCGGAGCCATTCCATGGATAAAATGAAAACGATTAATATGTTAGCAAAAAAGATTTTTAATTAAATTAATAATTAACATTACGGAATTGTTCTTGCTCGAACTGAGCAACAAAATAATAATTTTATATAATAGTTGATCTCCAAAACTTGATGGATGGAATGGTCCTTTTGCATAAAAAGTTCAGAGCGTAGTACTTGGACCTATTTGGAGCTGGTCCTCGTCCGAAAGCAAACAAAGTTGCAGCGTTGGCCCCAGTAGTTCTACCTGTTGATGATCCTGATTTTAGGAGGGTTATATTACCTGGTTTACCCAAATCATCAATACCTTTTTTGTTTATATTTAAAAATTAACCTGTCAGTAAAGTTTGCTGAATTGGTGAGAGGAGTAATCTCAAACGCTCCAGTAGTCTTTATAGTCTATTAATGATTGAATTTCTTAGCCTTGCATTATTATTATTATATTATTATTATTATATATTTTTATTTAAACTCAATTACAGTTGAACAAATTTGCCTTTAAAATTACGATTACTTTTACAATTTATAAAATAAATTCAGAAAAAGTTTTTTTTTTTTTTTTTTTTTTTTTTTTTTTTTTTTTTGTTCTTTTGTTTCCGGTTCCTCTTCCACTGCTTGAGTAGCATATGCCAATGGCATAGCAAGATGGATATATTAGAAGCCCACTTTGTTGAATATGTTGGCCCCTATAATATGAAAGCCTTTACTTCCTTGTCGATTCGCCGCTTTTTTGACAATAAGGTTTGAGTCATCGTTCATTTTAAACATATTAGCCAAAGATGGATGGCACACTCCCGACAATGCCGACATTACTATTTTTGTTGCATGAACCTTTCTTCGCTCCCCCAAGGTGTCAAGCTTTAGTTCTTCCAAAAGGGGAGCTGAATGAGTGTTCCTAGGTTTGTGACATACAATTCGCACACACTGCTTTTGTATAACGTCAAGTCTCTTTAGTTGTGCTTTGGATTGACCAAGGTACAATATGCTGGCATACTCTAGTTGACTTCGTATAAGTCCTGTATACGCAATTTTCAAAAGTTCCCTTGGAAGCCTGACAGATGCTTTTGCCAATATTCCCATACTAGAGTGACATTTTTTAACGGTTGAATCTATTTGTTCTTTGAATTGGAGATGTTGATCTATAGTGACCCCTAATAGCTTCACATGAGTTACTGGTTGAACCTCAGTATTTCCAATTTTAATGTGTAAGTTATCAGGAAGTTTTTTTCTTGGTGATTTGAAAACTATAAGTTGCGTTTTACTGGAGTTGATAGTGAAACCATAATCAACACAGAACTTATTTGTATCTTCAAATGCTTTGCTTAGTTTCTCAGTGACAACTTCTATTGAGCTGTCTGCAGCTGATAGGGTAATGTCGTCTGCAAATAAATAAGATTCAGTTGTTAATGCTTGTGGAAGTTCTCTCATGTAGATTTTAAATAGTTCAGGACTAAGACCTTGAGGTACGCCTCTTGTTATCGACTTCCATTGGGTAATCTTATTACCGTTTTTCACCCTCTGAACCCTTCCTTCTAGGTAATTTTGAAATAATTTACCAGCTTTTTGGCTTAGTCCTATTTTAGTTAGCTCATTTAGTAGGTTTTGATGTGGAACACTGTCAAATGCTTTTGTTAAATCTATTAATAGGGTGCCTACAAGTTTTCCTTCATTTAGCGAGCTATACCAGAAGTTAGTTGCTGTTATTAATGCTGTTTCACAGTTGGAGTTTTTCCTGAAGCCAAATTGCTGGATTGGTATTAATATCTTAGCTTCACTATATTCGGATAGTTGTCTGCTTATTATTTTTTCATAAACTCTCGAAAGTAATGGTAATACTGAGATTGGGCGATAGTTTTCCAGATCAGATTTACTGCCTTTTCCCTTCCATATTGTTGTAATATTAGCTTTTTTCCAGATGTCAGGAAATACACAAATATCTATAGATTTGTTTAGAATGATGGTTAGATTTGTTGCTAGAGAATTGGCGATTCGTTTGATTAAAAAAGCTGAGAGTCCATCATGCCCAGCTGATGAGTTGTTTTTTATTTGGTTAAGTACGTTCAACACGGTTTCTATTTTTACTTTCTTAAAACTAAAGCTGTCAATTTGATCACATCCGTCTGGCCATACAAGTGAAGTCCTGTCTTTGCATTGAACTATTGAAGCTAGATGGTCATTTAGATTGTCTAAATTGATTGTATTTTCATCAAGGGTACGATTTTTATCTTTAGTATTGAAACACATTTGCTTAATATATTTCCAACCATCTTTAGGGTTTTTGCTATGAAATGCTTCTGTTCCTTTTTCTATTTCAAACTTCCTTATAAGGCTTCTGATCTGTTTTTTAATATCCTTAAGTTCTTTTTCTTTTTCATTTGTAAAGTCTATATATTTTCCCCTTTTTTTAGCTAAATAATCTCTTCTTTTTATCATAATTTTTATTTTTTCATCAATCCATTGAGGTCTAGTTGTTCGGTATGGAAATTTTTTAACTGGAGCAAATTCGTCTATAATTCTTCTAATTGCATTATACCAAGTACTTACTAGTTCGTTTGTTGTCATTGATAGCTCAAGTTTAATTAATTCAATTCTTTTATTGAGGTCTTCAAAGTTTACATTTTTAAATGATCTTTTCAATACGGGTTTCAGTTTATTTATAATTGAATCTGTTTTAATTAATGCTGATACTGGAAAATGATCACTAGTTGAGTTGTTATTTACTTTGTACTTAAGGCACTCTAGATTATGATCTATGGCAATAATATCAAGGCATGTGGAACAGGTATTTGATATTCTGGTGGGCTCAGTGTTCTGAATCCTCACTCCTGCTAGGTTAAGTGAACATAATAGCGATTTACCTGGATTGACACTTGATTTAATGAGATCTGCATTAAGGTCACCCATTAAAATTAGATGACATTTTTTGGAGATTTCTTTTATTAATTCATTAAAATTTTTTCACCATTCATTTTTTGCTTGAGGAACTCGATAGACACTTAGCAAGACAATAGGTTTTGAGCGCTTTGACATTATCAGTTCTAATATTATAAATTCAATATTCAACATAAGATACTTATCATCAAATTTATCAATTTTTTTAAATTTAATTGATTCTTTAACATAGTTAATAAGTCCTCCTCCATTACATGTCCTGTCTTTTCTAATAGCTACATATCCTGGAATATCTATTGCAGTTGTAGTAACATTTGAGTCTATTTTGGTTTCTACAATATTGATTATGTCATAATCTTTAACATACTCGTTGACCTCAAGCCAATGCGCTCGAAGCCCATTTATATTCCATGTTGTTAGTCAAAGTGATTCTATGGTTTTTTTATGTCTTAATCTTTTTCTTTGTCTTGGGAGTTGCCAATCTAGATCCTCTGTATTGTTAGCAAGATTATAGATTTTTGGTCTAACAGATGTAGTATTATGGATTTCTCTAATTTTTTTTTTTGTATTTGAGAGACTATGCTCTTTATCTGTATCTGTTTTACTTTTATTTTCAATATGATTGGACTTTGGTTGACTATTTTCTTTTTCTGTTCTGCTAATATTTATATCCTTACTGATGTCCTCAATATGTTTATTATTTTCATTATCTATACTTTCCTTATCAATTTTCATTATAGTTTCCTTTATCCTGGTTGGTTTGATTTTTAATTTTATTTTATTCTCATCAATAGTTTTTGTATCATTCGTTTTAAGATTATTAAATGTTGGAAAAATTATATTTTTTCCAGCAGCTTCTGGTACGTTATGTCGATCACCTAGATTTCTTTTGATAATTTTCCCTTTTTTTATTTTGTAATTGTCTTTACCCAATACGATAAGCTCAGCTCTCAGTTTTTTATCAACTTCTAGTTGCTGCTTAGTCAAATCTGGTCTTATATAAACTGTTGGTCCCTCATATTTATTCTCTGTATTTCTAAGGTTCTTCCATATTTGTAGTAATTTTCTTCTTGTTTCTTTGTCCTTACTTTTTTAATACACAGAAGTCTGGTTATAGTGCTGCAAGGTTTCCCAAGTCGTTGACAGTAAGTTATATCTGTTTTAATAATAGGTTGGCTTATTTTATAATTTCTATTAATGTAACTAATAATATCTTCAGCATCATTATT